CTCTCATCTGCTTCAATGGATGGAATTCGCTCCCTCCGTCAAAAAAAGCATTACCTCCCTCCAAAAAAAAATACTTTTGTCGGCCGGCCAATTTTATTGTTATACATTGCATAACATCTTCTTAGAAGAGTTGTTTTTCGCGTTCTCTTTGATAGTTTTTGAGCTATAACCAGCTCTTCCCCGTTGTCTCTCTTAGGGCGCTGTTTACGCACAGACGCACCGGTCACTCTAACCTTTTGCGCACGGCCCTTTTCACCCGATACATCCAAGCAGCCCACACAAGGCGTATATTATTCTGTTCAGAAGGTCATTGGCTATCAGAAACGACAGTCATTTGCAAAGTCTGATGCAATTGGATCGATCTACTGTCGATCACAGAGAGGCTGCTCCATTCCTAATCCTGGATGCTAGTTGGCTATCGAGGCTTGTGGTCACCTCAAAGATGCAGCTATTGGCTCAAATAAGGTGTCAATCAAAAGAGCAGAGGTCAGCGGCCATTTTAACATCGATTATTCCGTGTTGTTTTTGTGTGTAAACAAGTTATACTGCAGAATGCGCCGAGGATTTGAGCGCTCCGTCGGCTAATATGAAATTATACTACTACATTCCGTGGCTGTTTATCAACATGTAAATGTGTTATGGACTAAATATTTCCCTGAATTGGATAGTCTGGACCCTTTACAGTGTAACTACACCATTTTTGTTGGAATATAATGAACTAGTGGACTAACAGGAGGCTTCATAGGTGAGTTCCTTCAGTTTTGTTATTGTTTATTTGGTTGTTGTTGGTCTGACAAAGACACTGATTGTACCTGCTGTGTTGATTGTATCTTAAAATGGTTTGTATCATTCGAATCACAAGAATCTCAGCTTTCCTATATGACTCAGCTTTCCTATATTTTGCGTGTGTGTTTTTACAAAGTTAACCCTCGAAGTATGTCGAGGCGGCACACTGGATGGCTAACAGGTTAATAAATATTACAACCTTAATCACCTGTAAAATCTTATTTACATAAATATGGAAATATGCATCTGAATGGTAACTAAATAATTTACATGACTTTCTCTAATTCATATCAAAACTACACATTTTTGCATTTTTTCAGATTCAAATATTATTAATTTAGTCCATAAACGGTGCGTTGTCAATTTAATTGTGCATGAGCATCGTTGCAAAAGTAGACTCACGCTTCAATGTAAACAACCTAGTTTCTTAAAGGGGTCATATTATGCTTTTTTAAAGATCATTATTTTGTGTATTTGGTGTAACAGAATATGTTGACATGCTTTAATGTTCAAAAAACACATTATTTTTCAAATACTGTACATTATTGTAGGTCCTCTATGCCCCGCCTCTCTCAAACGCTTCGTTTTCTACAAAGTCCATCCTTCCGACAAGCGCAGTCTGCTCTGATTGGCCAGCTGACCCAGTGCATTGTGATTGGTCGAACACCACAAGCACTCGTCGGAAATGTAACGCCCCTTACCATAATCGCGAGCTTCAGCTTTCAAAATAAATGTAAAGACAGTAAATAATGTCATTAGTTTTACCATCAGTTCAAGCCCGAAAGGGGAACAGAGTCGCGTGACAGACACAGTGATGAAGCTGGTATGTGTTTGCAGTACACAAGCCACGGTTAAGACAGCTGACTCCATTGTGATGTGACCCTGTGTCTCTCTCTCACACACACACGCGCGCGGTGCGCAAAACTCCGCATTTTGAACAGTCAATAGCAAATACTTAAATCCACATAGTGACGTAGATATGTGGGGGCGTGTTAGAACGAGCCGTTTTAGGGGGGCGTGGCAGAGTCTTAACTTTGATAAAGAATATCTCTTTGGTTTTGAGACTTTAGTCTTTGCAACTTCAGGGATCTTATCTATGCACAATCAGCAAGAGAAAGGAAAACTTGAAATCGCATCATATGACCCCTTTAACATAAGCAGTGAAAAAATATGTGCTGCTGACGCTTGTGCCGTGAATCAGGCATCCTGATGCGAAAGCGCTCATTCTGAACTGAAACACCAGTCATATTTCCTATCAAAACAAACCAGCACAGACTGCGTGACTCCTGGGCTGTGTTAGTGTATGTGTATGAGGCATGTGATTGTACGTCGCATGTGCATTACCGGACGCTGGAGCATTTGCTGATTTGTGCTCAGTTCGTGTCTGATGAATGAGGTAGCAAAGGCACAGCAGCTTCCCTTGGGTCTGATTCACTCGTGCTCAACAGCGTGCTCTTGGCCATGCCACCATTTGCTCCCTCTTTAAACTGCAGGTAGGGCGAGTTTTTCAGCATGTCAGGCAGGCAGGGCACCAGATGCAGCGCTCCGCCAGGCGTCACGCCATTCACACATGTGTAGAAGTCCTGAGTCATCGGTGGTGCAGGGGCCGAGTTTAGAATCATGCTGTAGTCCATGCCTGGGATGGACACAAGCTCAGGGTGGGCGTGGTCAGCATTTGGAGGGGGCGTGGCTCCCTCGCAGTAGGAGGCGGGGCCACAACAGTAAGGCGCAGGACTGCAGCTCGTCTGAACAGACTGCTGTGCGATCGGTGCATCCTCGTGTTTATATTGAGACGGGAAGCTGTTGGGCATCGCAGACGGACACATGTCCACGCTCACCTGGTACCACGCCTCCATGCAGTACTGTGGCGACTTATAGCCGTGAAAACTGGAGAAATGACGATTGATCTCGTCAATCTGCCCCTTCTGGAGGGACAAGAAAGGACAAAGAGAAAAGAAGGTAAAGCAGATGCTTCTTTAAGTTCCTCATGTGGTTTCTAATAAATCATTCAACAGTGTTGTGCTGGTTGTCATGATGTTGCTATGCAGTTGCTAAGGTATTTTCACAAAAATACACACTTACTGTTAGAGGTTTGATCAGTAATAGTACTGGTGATAGTTGATCTAAACACTACTAATAACTCAAACAATGTAACTCTGAGCAGGTGTGTGATATGTGACGGGACAATGAGACCTTCAGCAGAACAGGTTCAAGCCCTCGAATGCGCGGTTTGGGAATCGGTGGCAGGAGGAATGATTTAATTCTGCAGAATGAACACAAGCAGAGTAAAATGTCAATGAGACAATAACAGACACACATTGTTATCTATGGAAGCATAAAATTAAATTTTATAATTTACATTTGCCATTTCCAACAGTAGTCTTAATATGTAAATTGCATGCACATTTGAACGCTTTTTAAGCTGCGAAAATGAAAATGAAAATGTATAACACAAATTGATTTGATATGTGTAACGTGTTCCAGCAGAAATGGTAGCAAAATTATCATTTAAATGCTATTTGTCCTAAATGCATTTAGACTAACAGTTAGAACACTTAGGATTGCATTTTCATCATGACGCCGTGGGATATTTGTAGCAAAATTCAATTTGAGCTTTAAAATTTGTATGCAATTTACATATTAAGACTACTGTTGGAAATGGCAAATGTAAATTATATAATTTAATTTTCATTTTACTTTTGCACCAAACTTTGCACGTATGGGTAATGGAAAATGTAAATTTAAATACAGAAATACAATGCCATTTTGAATATTTCATTGCCATTTTGAATATTGCATTACCATTTTGCATATTGCATTTTAAATTGAATTTCGCTACCTATATGCTTCCATAGTTATCTTAATGACAACATTCCATTCTGTTGTTTTTATAAACAGCTACTTATAAGTACTGTAACCTAACCCTAACCCACACACTAACCATTGCAGAAAACCTTCTTCATTTTTACAATTCAAATTCTTCATTTACTTTATTTTTATACCATTTTACAAATAGGGACATCCCCAAAAACAGGTTTTTGTCAGATTGAAATCACTTCATAATATTTAAGTAATTAAATACTAAATATATAAAGTAATTACACACACATTTATTTTGGTCTCTTCGTGGGGATTTGCCATAGACTTGTATTGTTTTTATACTGACCTAACAGTATTGTCTATCTCCTAAACTCTTACCCTCACAGAAACCTTTTTGCATTTTTACATTTTCAGATAAACATAATTTTGTATGTTTATTAATCCATTTCCCCACAAAGCAGGTGATCTTAGGCAAAGACTATAGATATACAAAGGAGGTTCACTCCTATTACTTATGAATAGGAGAAATTGCAACATGCAATATGGCGGAATATGCCCCGCCTTCTAAATGAAAGAGCCAATCACTGATTGGAAAAGTCATTGCATCACTGCAGCTACCTATAGAAGCTCCAGTTCCCATAGAAACTGGAGACTAGCGCTTATGACTGCACATGTGCATTGACTGGTCTAGCCTGAAAAATAAGCTTTTTAACGCTATTTGAGTATAAAGAACTACAATCATGGGGCAGTTTATTTAAGATGTTGATGCTGATTTAAAATATGTAATTTAATTGTGAGTTCAGCAGGTAGTTTTTAAGATTTCAGAATTCCCCATTCATTTAGATTGGACTTGGTCTTGGATGCCCAAAATAGCTGCACGGAGGCGTTGCAAATATGGCCACCAAGTGAACAGTCTTTCCTTGAAAGGGACTTTGTCTTAGGTTTTTGGTGAGATAGAACCATCTGTGAAAGGTGGAAACATGGATCATATTAGGAAGACTGTGGATTTTTTTTTTTTATCTAAAATTTTTCTTCTTTAGTAAAGATTAAAGAGTTTTTTACTTATGTTTTCTTAATACTTTTCTTTCTTTTTTTTCTTGCATGTTGTGTTTTTACTCATTTATTGGGGTTTTTATGTTTTATATCTGTTCCTCAAAGCTAAGCATGGTACTATAATTCAACATTTTCACTCAAAATAAGAGAAAATGTGAAAGATATCTGCAGGTTTGTGATTCTTTGTGACCAAACTAAACATCTAATCAAGCCTCTGGATCATGTGACCCTATCATGCAGATCTACAGATCCAGCCGTGTTGACAGTCATGTCATGTCGACAGTCCATCGATACTGAGACCAGAGCTACAAGGTTCATGACTTCACTGACCTCTTGCCTCGTGGGACGATCCCAAAACCAATTATGAGGAAGGCCATAAAGGCAATGCTGGTCACAAGGATGAAGGCCAACATCCGATCTGAGAGACAGACACAGACAGACAGAGACATTTAGAGCTGCAACTATCAGTCGTGACAGACGGGTTGATACGTTATTGTGTGTCTGTGAGTGTGTGTGTGTGTGTGTGTGTGTGTGTGTGTATGTGTACATGTTTTTCTATCCCGGTGGGGGCTTAAACCTGAATACACACTGACTCATGTGGACTCGTGTCAACATAGTGAACCTAAAATGAGGTCCACATGGGGAAGCAACCTTATAAATCATACAGAATTAGTTTTTTTTGATAATGTAAAAATGCA